GGGAGGCTGGACTAGAGGGACCCTCACTGGTCTGACCCAGCAGGGCTCTTTTCTGATGAAGTGGAACTTTCCAGGGACAAAGGTTGCCAACTCTCAATTTGGAACTGGTTGGCCCCTGTGTGAGACGGGAGGCTGGACTAGAGGGACCCTCACTGGTCTGACCCAGCAGGGCTCTTTTCTGATGAAGTGGAACTTTCCAGGGACAAAGGTTGCCAACTCTCAATTTGGAACTGGTTGGCCCCTGTGTGAGACGGGAGGCTGGACTAGAGGGACCCTCACTGGTCTGACCCAGCAGGGGTCTTCTGAGGTTCTTCTCAGGGGAAGGCCTCGGCCTCTCTGCCTGTTGCTGGCCCTACAGAGGAACTGGCTGGCCACTGTGTGAGAGACAGGAGGCTGGACTAGGTGGACCCTCCCTGGTCTGACCCAGCAGGGCTCTTCTGAGGTTCTTCTCAGGGGAAGGCCTCGGCCTCTCTGCCTGTTGCTGGCCCTACAGAGGAACTGGCTGGCCACTGTGTGAGAGACAGGAGGCTGGACTAGGTGGACCCTCCCTGGTCTGACCCAGCAGGGCTCTTCTGAGGTTCTTCTCAGGGGAAGGCCTCGGCCTCTCTGCCTGTTGCTGGCCCTACAGAGGAACTGGCTGGCCACTGTGTGAGAGACAGGAGGCTGGACTAGGTGGACCCTCCCTGGTCTGACCCAGCAGGGCTCTTCTGAGGTTCTTCTCAGGGGAAGGCCTCGGCCTCTCTGCCTGTTGCTGGCCCTACAGAGGAACTGGCTGGCCACTGTGTGAGAGACAGGAGGCTGGACTAGGTGGACCCTCCCTGGTCTGACCCAGCAGGGCTCTTCTGAGGTTCTTCTCAGGGGAAGGCCTCGGCCTCTCTGCCTTGTGGTTGGCCCTCCAGAGGAACTGGCTGGCCCCTGTGTGAGATAGGAGGCTGGAGTAGATGAACCACTGGTCTGATCCAGTAGGGCTCTTCTCATATTCTCATGTTCTTAATGTTCAGGAACATGAGAAACTGCTTTTTGCGGAGACAGGTCCATCTAGCCCAGCAGCCCTCGGCTGTGTGGTTTTTAGGCAGAACTGTTGCTGTGATCTGTTTTCCTGACTCTTTTTCTTGATAGCACAGAGCCGCTGGAACTGCTGCCTGAAGGGGGAAGGAGGGGGTGTTTGTCCTGTTATCCCAATGAAAATGCTCCCCACGGTCCCCGCTGCTGAGGAAATCTTATTATATGTACCTTTACCCCTTTTATTTAGACAGATGTTTGGATACTTAGTGAGAGGCTGTGGCTCAGTGGCAGAGCCTCTGCCTGGCATGCAGAAGGTCCCAGGTTCAACCCCTGGCAGCATCCCTAGTTAAAGACAATCGGGCAGGAGGTGATGTCAAAGACCTCTGCCTGAGACCCTGGAGAGCTGCTGCCTGTCTGAGCAGACAATACTGACCTTGATGGACACATTATTTGGGCAGGGGCCGTGGCTCAGTGGAAGAACCTCTGCTTGGCACACAAAAGGTCCCAGGTTCATTCGCCGGCAACTCCACTTTAAAAGGATTGGGCGGTAGGTGATGTGAAAGACCTCAGCTTGAGACTCTGGGTCTGATTAAGTATAAGGCAGCGTCACATGCTTGTGAGCCAGATGGTCCAGTGAGGAGACTCAATATAAGGCAGAGTCATGGATTCATCGAAGTCTTCCACGCGCCGTTTCTTTTATCCCCCAGAAGTTGCTGCAGTTCTTCAGTCTCCGAACAAATAGGCCTGTTTCTGAAGGCTGGATTTCATTGAAAGGGTTAATCCTGCTCCATTGGCTCACTCTGGCGCCACCTGCTGGTTCCATTAGATACATGTCCTAGGAAAG